TGGAAAAGGACAATGAGCATTCAGTGGATATATGGTATATTGCATAATATACTGGCCATATATGTGCTAACTCTGAGCTTGTATGACATCCAGAATAATTTAGTGCTTGGTAATAACAGTGATCTGCATGCTAATGTGCACACCTGATGACTATGTGGAACAAATCAAGCAACTAAATACAAATATAATAAATACAATCCAGAAATGTCTGACTTTGGTAATAACATTGAGACCCAAGCAGGGTGAGATGCCAACATACAAAAATTAATTAATTAATTATTCAATATAAATAAAACATTCAATATACATGTGTAATAGTGATGCATTTACATTATTTAAGGTTTTTAAACCAATCATAATATAAATATTCCACAAATTATAAGGTAGTGGTAGGTAAGGTAGTGTGATTGTATTGAATAATTTAAGTGATAGTTCATAATATTGCTAAATTTGGCTGAATTATAAGCCAGAAGAGCAGTTTGGGAGCTAAAAGAGCCAACTCTTATTGAGCTGAGCCAAATGATCTGGATCACTAAAAGAGCTGAAAGTCCCATCATTCATTAGAAGGTAAAGTCGTTCTTTATACTATAAGTGATGCAGAAGTTTTGACTTATTCTAACAATCTAATAATGCAGTCAGTCAGTCACCAGGAGCTGGGCCTACCTTTCCCACAAGATCCATGTTTGGGCCTCACGCCAACCTTTGATAAGTTTTTTCTATCACACCTTTCACACACACAATATTTCCTACAGGCCTGGTCCAGATTTATATATACAGTGTATGTGGGCACACTGAAATGCACTGCCAGGAACCATCATTGTCATTTTAATGGCCTCAGCATTTATGTCTGCACAATGGCTGATGCTGCCATTGTTTTAAAAATGTTTGGCTTTATACGCTGTTTACTCACTATTGCAACGGTTGACCTTTTGATGGGTCTGCCTGATTCCAGAAACTATTTATTGATCCAATTAAACTGTCTTCTCTTTGGCTTAGGCTGATGTGGTGAAGTTGGCTTACGGCCACAGAGTGCTGCGGTACAGGCTGTAACGCCTGTATAGAGGTGCATTCAAGCTCCGCCCAGCTCTGAAAAACCTGGCGGATGGAAGGCTCATTATTATGTAATTATATCAGCTGCTTAATGTGTTTACAGCCATTGGACAGCAGGATTTATTACTCAAAGTGTACAAAAATGGAGGACTTTATTCTTGCTGCAGCAGTATTGTCAGATTGTGACAGATGACTTGACTGCAAAAGTAGAGCTGAAACCATTAGTCCATGATTAACTGCATTTTTCAAGCAAATATGACAAAAATGTGATATTTCCATCTTCTCAACTGTGAGGATTTGCTGCCTTCTTGCCTTACATTACAGAAAAGTTAATATATTGTGGTTTTGGGATAATTTTGAAAATTTGTAAATTTGAATTTACTTTGGGTACTAGGACTTTCTAACATTTTATAGGCCAAACCATTTACCAGTTAACTGAGAGAATAATTGTCAGATTTATTAATAAAGAAAACAATGATTAGTTGCAGTGATATGCAAAAGTCTCACCATTGCTCTGGCTCCAGTTGTGGCAGCAATCCTTTAGCTCTTTGAAGATTTGTTATACTTCCAATTGTGAGTTTGTGTGTTGACATGTTGTAGGTAGAGCTGCAACAGTTAGTCAGTTAGTTGATTAGTTGTTAACTATTAAATTAACCGCCAACTATTTTTGATAATTGACTAATCAAGTCTTTTTTTTTTTTTTTTTAAATGGCCATATTCTCAGCGTCTCTAATGAATGAATAAATATTTTCTGGTTTCTTTTGTTCTCTATATTGTCCGCCTGATGCTGTTACATAAAATAAATTATAAGATTTAATTAATTATAAGATAAGAGTCATTTGTTGCACAGAGACAAAATTATCTGTATGAGCAGTCTCTGCTCTGATAAACTTGTGACTATACAAGAGCCTCTAATGGCCTGGCTACCTGCTGACCAATTACAATATATTTATATATATTTATTAGGGCCTCAGCAGCCCCCAGCATAATGCAATACAGTCCAACTGCATCACAAACTACATCTTCCAGAATGGCCATAAAGCACATCTCTAAAACAGTTTAAACTAAAACTGAACATCATAACTTGCATATAAGTAGAATGTACTGGTATATTATATTATAAGAGAAGATTTGAATTGAACTTCACACAGGCACATTAGCATCAAAGAAATTTATTGCAGTGCATTACATTAGCTCAAGTCTCCTGATGGAGCCCACGATTGCTTTCAGAGCTCCCCAGGCTGAGTGGTTTCGGTACTCCCCTTTCTCTAGCAGGTACTGGCGACCACAGAAGTTGGGATGTTCAAAGAAAACCCAGGAGCCCTCCATGACCTTGCAGGACCGGACTTCAGGTCTGAGCCATTTCTCATGGACAGACTTCATGTTTTCCGTCAGCTCCAAAGATGTGCCTTCAAAATCTGGCCGGTCAAACAGCTTCAGCTTGTACAGCCCTTTGCCCTGAAACCAAAACAGAGAAATGTGTTAAATTTAATGTCTGTAGAATACAGTGTTTGGTTTTTCTTGTTCCTTTTTGTTCAGTGACTTACGTTTTTGATGATCCTGCAGGATCTGACACAGTCATTGAAGCCCATCCAGTGGCAGTAGTCATTGTACTCCCCTGGCCCAATGATATACTGGTAGCCCGTATAGTTGTTACGCTCGTACAGAACCCACCAGCCACCTTCTACCTTGACCGAGTTGCATCGGTGTATGAAACCATGCAGGTCAACTGAGTCCCCTTTGCAATCATAGGACTTTCCCTGGAAGTCCCGCTCCTCGTAGAACACAATCTGGAAAAAGTAGAGAAGAACAGGATTATTCAACAAAAATTTAAAAGAGGATTTTATCTGCACCTGTGTTTGCACATATTTAAGATTTCAATGACAAAACATTTAACTTCTAGTGTAAGATCTGACCTTCTCCATCTGTGGTGCTTAAAATACTAGATGCCATAACAAAGCCAGTACTCTTTATACATGGCGGAGACAATACGAACAAATGCAGGGTTAGCAGAGCATGTAACAGTTATTACAATTCAAATATTCATCTAGAGTCTGCCCATTGTTCTTACTCACTGAATTGCCTTTCCACACACAACGGTTGTTTAGCAGTGCCAAGTATCTAAACCTCACTCACTGCTCCATCCAAACTGATCTGGACCGTTGCAATAAATGTTTTGTTTTAATACAATTTTCTGGCAGGGCTAACACGAACTTATGTAAAAACTAAAAATAAAGTTGTCCATTAATTCGATTCAGTTTTGTTCTAGATATATACAATTTATTGAAACTTTAAATAACGCTTTTCTTCGCTAATTCTACAAAAGAACCCCAAAACAATACTGTAGACAAATTATTTGAACTTCTTTGGCATGTGGTGGAACTTGACATCTTTTATGTTGGACTATTGTTTGCAATGTCATGTGCAAACATTTAGCTTTGAAGGCAGTTTGAGGTTTAATATTGATGATGGTGTTGACAGGCCCACTCTTACATTTTAATTTTAATTTTAATTTCCTATGACATTATGCATATTTTGTAACATGCACATCAGTTATACAACAAATGACACAGGCTACATTTTATTCCAAACTGTCTCAAACGCCCCGTTCCCTCCCGTGCCCAACACGAAAGGGAGGTCACCCTGATATAGAGTGACCCAAGACCATTTCCATATAATCCAGGAAAACTAAATATAAATAATATTAATAATAATAAAATTAAAAGATAGGCATACTCTCACAGAGTAATCATAACAGTGTACTCCTCCACATTTTAGTCTCTTAGAGAAGAAATATACATGCCCCACTTGAGGAGATATTTTTTCCATTCTGTCCTGCATTCTATATGACATTCATTAGTTAAATTTTTTAATTCAGTGAGGGTGAAAAAAATGCACAACTGTATTTTTCTGCTATCTCTAAATATATAGATGCTAAATTAATATTGTTTAAGGGTTTTACTCAGTTTTGGCCAATTTAGAAAGTGATAAGTCATAGAATATTTGCACTGTAAAAAAAAAGGCAATCTATAGGTTTGGGCGACCAAAAGTATGCCTGACAGTTGCTGATGTTATATGAACTTACAGTTAAACAGACCACCATTGTCAGTTATAGTGGATCCTTGACATCCTTAAGCACCTCAATGAACTCCACTCTGGAATATTCTGTATTCACTGTGAAACCAAAGGGTCTTTGCTATTTAAGACTATTTTATATCTTATTCAGAAATAATTAATGTGAATAGTTCAAGATAATGTTTCAAACAGTTTTGCCATCAATTGTGCTTAAAGGTTGTGATAATACCATATCAAATTATATATAATAAGTAGGTAAACAAGTAAACAATCATTTAAGTCCTCTATTTTCATATAAAATTGAAATATAGTTCTGCATTTATTTTTATTTTATTGCATGTTCAATTTGCAACATGGTTTGTTTTTTTAATTGACAGTGACAGCTGAAGAGTGAGAGAGAGAGAATGACACGCAGATCATGACATCAGTTTGTCTTGAGATGTATTTTGTGTTTTACTGAAAACAAGACTAAAGTCATTGAGGTGTCATGTAAGTTAATAAGCAAGAATACGGACAGCACTGTTGGGTATGGGTAAGAAAGACTTTTATTCATTTGAGTGCAACACAGAGTTCTCAGGATTAGGATAGATGTCCAAATAAAAAAGGGAATTAGGAGGCTGAAGGGTTCTTGAATCTTAGCCTTCTGGAACTCTTGAGGTGAGAAATTCCTCAAGATTACAGAACTTCAGTGGCATTAGGATTCTGAAAGAACTAAACATTTTGGTTGTGCTAGACATTTGAAACCTTGTAGGGGTTCTAAAATGCATGTTCTCAGAGTTCAGGAGATTGAATTTGTTTTAAAATTAGAAACCTTTGGTGGTCTTTAATTCAGATAACTCTTAGAGGCTGCAGAACCCTGAAAGGCCGCTACCGTTCTAGAACTCTGTGATCATGCGAAAGGATCCCACAGCAGGGGAGGCTGCTCCCCAGTCTGTATAGTTGCGGTACTCGCCACGCTCCAGGAAGTACTGGTGCCCGTGGTAGTTAGGCTGCTCGTAGAGGACCCACGCACCGTCCATTACTACGCAGGAGTGGAACTCCCGGAACTTGAGGGCCTCGTAAACCGATGGGCAATCGCCAACACACTCTGCCACTTGGCCTCCGAAATCCTGCTTGTCGTAGAATCTGATCTTCCAGGACTTTCCAAAAACCTAGGGGTAGTTGGAGAATTAAAGTTGTTTAAAATTACGTCTGAATCTTTTGACTATCTATTCTGATCTTTTTGACTTCACATCTACAAATGGGTTTCTTGGCTGTTATCCTAGTTTCCTTTGATAATTGATGTGCACCCTGCTGCCAAATCATGAGCCTTTTATCTCCTTTTTGTCTGTCGGCCTTTGACTGATTACTGCTTGGTTGGAGCACTCTGTGGTATTTCAAAGGACCTGGACACTCTCCTGCAAAAAATTAACCCAGAAATCATGCTGTGTACCTAATTTTATGAAAAGCACAACCCAGTTTGACTTTATTATGATTGACCTATTCCATAGATTGGTGTAGTTAGCGTATCCAAGCTTAAAGAAACTGGTGCACTAACAATAGTATTACACAAATAAGGCCATCTCTACTAAAGGATGACTTTCAAATAATATTTCCCTTTTGGTTCCCTTTTCTAAAAAGCATCTACAGGTTGTTGAGCTTACATTTTTGATAGAGCGACATGACTTGATGCTATCATTGAATCCCATCCACTGTTGTGGATCAGGGTATTCCCCGGGGCTCAGGATGTACTGGTTGCCAGTGAAGTTGGGACGCTCGTACAGCACCCAGCAGCCACTATCCACCTTAATGGAGTTGCAGCGGCTGAAGTAAGATTGCAGGTCAGGGCAGTCAGTGCTGCACTCATAGCTTCGGCCTTGGAAGCTCTTATCCTCAAAGAATACAATCTGCATGGAAGAAAACAGACAAATCCTGGTAAACTACCATCCCAACATTGTAGGAAACAGAACAATAGCATATTGTTGTGCCTAGCTTCCATTAAAATGACAATAAATTAAACAAAACACAGTTTGCATGCACTATTGTTGCTTGAAAACCTTTGGAAAATAGCATTTGCTCCTTACCTTCCCCATTGTTAATGATATTGCTTGCCTCCCATCCAGCTGCAGCTGTGTTGTGGCTTATATTGAAATGCAGAATGTGCAGACGAGGGAAAGCTATTGTCATCTAAATTAACTTGATTTGCATATCAGCAACATGGTTTGGTCAAGTTTGATTTCCCTTTGTCCACATGGGATGGCCTTATATCAAAGAATTGCCAAAACTGACATGTAAAACTTATAAAGGCCAACAGCCATACTTAATGATAATTGTTTTCATTGTTTCCATTGAGTTCTTCCTTGAAAAGATTATTTGTTTGTTGTTTGGTCTCTATCAGCAGTTCTTTTTTTTCGTGGAAAACGGAATAACTAATTGTCTTCCTTTGGCTTTTTTACAGTACGAGATTACAGAACATAATCATGAAGGGGCAATGCAGTCTTTTACTCTTGGATAATGGTTGGTCTTAATGACCCTTGGAACTGTGATACCTGAACCATAAAGTAATTGCCAGAAAATTTACATTTTTTGGAAACTGGATTGTTTATTTAACCATCTTTAACAAACAAAAACATATAAAACACAACATTTTTAACCCATTTGAGTTTCCTTTCAAATTTTCCTTAAGTAATTTCAAACATACAAAAGAAGTATTTTTCCATATTGCACAACAACGTCATACATATTCTGTGTCTGCTGAAATAAAGCTATCACACAGCAATGACAAACCCACCAGTAGAACCGGCATGGTGGAAGAGGAACTTTTCACTTAGTTTGGTTCATTTTTTGGTTTCACAATCTCTTTATTTTGCTGCTCCTCTGGTGCATGAATTACTGATCCCTGGTGGATTATCCGTGCACTGTATGTGTCTGATTGTATACATCAGGTTTTTTTCATAATATTCATAGGTATGTTTTCATTAGTGTATAATCGCCTGAATATAAGAATTGTTGTGTTTTCGTTGAACCATTTTTTTTTCTGGTCCGCCATGTTAAACTGCCATGTTTCTACAGTAGCCTAGAATGGATGAATCAAACACTGGCTCTAGATAGGGCCTTTGGCGTTTTTCGTGAGCCACCACAGTTTCTCCTACACTCTTGGAAGGCGAGCAGTATTCCATTGGTTGCAAAATGCTATTTCACCACTACATACCCCTAAATCCTACACAATACTTCATACTTAAACATCTTGTTCTTGGCAACAGTGTGCTACTTTATTCAGGAGACCAGATAGTTAAACAGGCTGTTGGCAACACCACACCAGCAAAATGCAATGTAAACAAATCCTAAGAGATAATAGAACTCCAAAAACCAGATGTGCGTTGAATGTAACTGGTTCTTTCATCTCTGTTTGAAACAGCCATTACACATTACAGAGGACATCCTAAGGTCTTAAAGGAGAGCGTGTAGGATTTTGTGACATCTTGCAGCGAAGTTGTAGATTACAACCAACTGAACACCGCTCACCTTCCAAGCGTGTAGGAGAAACTACAGTGGCCGCGAAAGTTTGGTTTGTCTGCTTTGGGCTACTGTAGAAACATGGCAGTTCAACATGGCCTTAGAAGAGGACCCTCTCCCTCTGTAGATAAAAACAGTTCATTCTAAGGTAACAAAAACACAATGATTCTTATTTTCAGGTAATTATACATGGGATTATTAAAGTATTTCTGATTCTGATTCTGATTAATTATAACAATAATACTAATATTATATTATTATTCCATATTCCATTTCTGCCAATATATACACATTTAATGAACTGAGTAAATAATATTGAACATAATGAAATCATATCTGTTCAACCCTAATTTAAGCTCACAGATGAACCCACAGCAGACGTTCAAGTTTGTCATACCAGGAAAGACAGGGCGCAAACTACAGGGGAGCCAGCAGGGAGCTTGGCTCCTCTTAATGAATGAGCTCGCCTGAAAACATGATTTGTGAAATTTTGGGCGGTCATGTTGACAATATGCTGTTTTTCCCATGCATTAAAATTTTTTTTTGTATCTTTATCATCGTGGATTATGCTTAAGCTTCTATTGATGTATAATTTGTAAATCAGGGTGATTCATCACTAATTCACTTTAATAAAGATACTGCTATTCTTGCCATTACCACGGAAGATCAGAAAATATACATAAAATAAACGTCCCTAGTTGGAGTCCGTCTGCACGCCGAATCACCATGATTAATTTCTCTTTCTTGTAGTCAGCATACTATGCGTCATGGTCAGTCCCTCCCCAGCAACAGTCGAAAGTAAATGGTAAATGGAATGTACTTACATAGTGCCTTTTTAGTCTTTCAACCACTCAAAACGCTTTACACCACATACCACACTCAAATATTCATACACTAATAGAGCTTTAATAGTTTCTGTGGACTTTTGCTTGGTTGACAAGTCCTGATTTGAACCCAGGATGTTGCACTTTAAGAGTATGAATCATTGACCATGGGATTCCAGAATGAACCTTGTTAGAGTTATGTAAAATATCTGTTAATATCTCACTAAAGATGCCAGCTGGAATCATGTATACTTTAAATGAATGGTAAATCATGGATTTAGAAGATTAGCTGGATTTCATATACATTTGTGTGCAGAGTTTTCGGGTGACATTGTCCATTTTGGGAGTTATGGGCTAAGTTTTTTTTTATCATTACTGCCAGCATCAACCTGACTGACACTGACCTTATTCTTAGTTCCCTCACACCAGGCTTTTAAACTGAAGGCCAAAGCCAGTTCAAACAAAGACATACATATTGTGCACAGCAACACATTTTGACATGTCACAGCAGGAATGCACAGGTGTAAATAAAAATAACAATGGCTTATGTCTATTTAGCTGCTTCAGTTTCATAGACCTTTTCACAGCAGTCATTTTGACATGAAATAATAGGGTAAACACAGGTGTTATCAATGATAAGTTTCTGTTTCATTGTCTGTCATGCATGCTGGTTGACTTTCACGTGAATAGAACAGAGCCATTGTTAATGTTATTAGTAACAACTGGGCTTTTCCTACCAGGATAAGTCCAAATGTATGCCGTGAAAAAGGTCATAATAGCAGTAATAGAAGTAATAGAAGTATAAACACTTCCATAAAGTTTCAAAAGTAACTTAGTCATATCAACCTTTCTAAGCTGTTTCAAAAAAATAATATTGGTAGCAAGAGATGCTGACTCACTCAAAATGTATAATTTATGGACTAATACACAAAGAGACATTTTTGCCTTTTAGATAATTGACAGTACGGAGTGAAAGAAAACATGGAGAGAGGGAGCGATGTCCATTTTTTCCAACAGGCTTGATCCCAAAGTGTAATTTTTCAGCCTTTATCTAACTCTAACTATTTATATGTATTTCAGGTTTATGCAAATATAACCCTGAAACTGTGGAGTAAATGTAATAAAATGTAAGTAAGCCATTTGAACATTGTCATCACTGTTCTCAAGACATCTATGGCCTGAACTAGTGACACATTCAAGCATGACAAATCCATTCGGTCACACAGTTCAAACTGTGATCAAACTAAGCTTTTTCTTCCCACACTAATCTTCCCTAGTCTGAGAAATGTAAAAAAAAATAATAATAATTAAAAAAAAAAACTGCAGATCGGTTCTTCCCCCTCCTCTCCTGCCTTGTGTCTTCCACCCATTTCCCCTCCCTTTGTTCTGGATCATGATGGCACAAATGAAATTAACAGCATCACAGAGCTGCTTATTCATCAACTTCCAGATAATTTGAATAACAAAACCCTGTTAGAGCGCGTATAAAGTATAAAAGCCGCCTGGCAGCCACAGGTTGTTGGACAGATTCCCACAAACACAGATCATCAAACATGGGCAAGGTATGTAGAGAGCAGAGCGGAAAACAATCACGTTTCTGTATAGGACAAACTCGGCACACACAATGTGAAAAAGTGAAAAGAAATAAAAGACAGTAACATTGATTTAAGTTTCCAAAACTATATTTTAAAATGGACAGTTTAAATCAATTTGTTTTTCTTTTTTACAGATCATCTTCTACGAGGACAGGAACTTCCAGGGTCGCTCTTATGAGTGCATGAGCGACTGCTCTGACATGTCCTCCTACCTGAGCAGGTGCCACTCCTGCAGGGTGGAGAGCGGCTGCTTCATGGTCTACGACCGCCCCAACTACATGGGAAACCAGTACTTCATGAGGAGGGGCGAGTACGCCGACTACATGTCTTTTGGCATGAGTGACTCTATCCGATCCTGCCGTTTAATTCCTCAGGTATGCAAAGATTTGGAAAATATTTCATGTAATATTGATGAAAAATTATAATTTTGCTAATTTTATTTATTTTCCTGTTGTGAGTTTGAAAGTAAATATCTAATGAGCAAGTTTTAATTAATTCTTACAAATATAGCATCACACACTCTGCAATAAAACATACAATGTTAACAGCAGCAAAATTGTCCTATGCTGACCTGTCCTCCTCTGTGTGTTCATCTACAGCACAGAGGCCAGTACAGGATGAAGATCTACGAGAGGGAGAACTACGGTGGTCAGACACATGAGCTGATGGAAGACTGTGACAACTTCCAGGACCGCTACCGTATGTCCGACTGCCAGTCCTGCAACGTGATGGACGGCCACTGGCTGATGTACGAGCAGCCCCACTACAGAGGCAGGATGATGTACCTGAGGCCCGGAGAGTACAGGAGCTTCAGGGACATGGGATACAGCAGCATGAGGTTTAGCTCTGTCAGGCGTATAATGGATTCCTGTTGAAGCAGAGTGAAAGAAATGTGTTGTCGAATAAAATAAAAGAGGAATCAAACGTCACCTTGTCATCGTGTTATCTTTTGTCTAATAGAAGATGAGCTTTTTTTGTGCGTCTGTGGGTTAAATCTGCATAACAGGTCTTTAAAGTGAGCTAGTAGACATGTCGCACCCTGAAAAATCTTTCATAAGCGTGGCCAGATGGGGCTAGTGAAAGTCTTGGGGTGGTGTGACACAGTGACAGACGGTCAAAAGCAGGTGGCTGGCCATGCATTTGTTATTTTATTCACAG